GTGCTGGCTTGGGAATGCCTGTCTGTTACTTGTGTGAAGTTCTTTGTACTTTTCAAAGATGTTTCACCTGTAGCATTTCATTTGACCATCACATCACTATGCAAAATAAACAGAGTAGATTCAGTAGTCCCACTTTTGAGATGCTGAAGAAGAACTCCAAGAATTCCCAGCCACTAGGTGAGGACCCTAACCAAAACTGGACCTCAGATCCTGAGACACCTTGCTCCACACACTATGCCATATCATATACATTCTGAGCTGTTTCCAAGATCATCTTATCCAGTACAGGCTAACTTGGCGAACCATTTCCTGTACTAGTCAAAGGAATGCCAAGTGCAGGAAGCAACAGTAGCAGCAGAGTTGGTGAGCTAAGCTAGAAACACTAGTTTTAAAAAGAAACAACTGGATATTGCTGGAATTGGGATGTGAGTATATGGAAAATATTTTTTATTTTTCTTCAATTAAAAATTTCTTGCTCTAGAACCCTAGGGTTTAAATTTTTTTTCTTTCATTTACCTGATGTCTGGGCATATTATGTCTTTCAGGAGATCAGCAGAGGTTATATATTTCAGCTGTCAACAAAGGACATTCTAAGGCTCCAGATTCCAGCTCAGAACTTCTATTCTGAGAAGTTAAAAGGTAACTGAAGAGGAGAAAGGGTGGATTTTTTCCTCAGGAAGCCATAGTACAGTGTTATTTTCCTACAATCAATTTTACCTCGAACCCTCTCTTCTTCTCTCCCTCCCTCTCTTTGACTGTTTCAATTTTAATTCATAGAGGAAAATCACCTTATCCCATTCCAAATGAAATTAAAGAGATATTTCTTCAAAGAATACTAATGAATGACTGACATTGTCAGGGAAAAGTGAAATATTCTAATGACCTTTCCCTTGTTTTTGGCAAGAATTCATCTTTAAAGAAAAGAAGTATGTGCTTTGCAAAGCTGAAGTGATTTGTCACATTCCTCCGAGCCGAAGTGACCTACACTGTTTCATCATTCCAGACTAGCAATTATGTGAGGGTTCAAAATAAAGTGTGATTGCTGAAAGCTAAAAATCAAGCATACCACAATGAAAAGTCATATTCCATTTTTTTATCCTTCTTATTTGCAATTTTCCATCCTTCCTGTTTACCCCTTTTTCAGCTTGCCAGAATGAGACTATTTTATAAAACCAAGTGTTTAGATGTGGGCCTGTCTGCCACAGTGTCCCTGGATATGGAAAAAGACTGGTAGGAAAATCTCAGATATTTTCCTTAGCACCCTCTTACCCCCACCTTACACATCTGAGGACCCCGATCCTAGAAATTTTGTTTTCCTAATAACCATAATCCTTTGTAAAAATCACTTTTAAAACATTGACAAGGACAAGAGTAAATCGGCTCACTCCAAAGTGCTGTGGATTTCTCCAACAGTCTCGCTAATTTATTGCATTTTACCACTTTCTTACACAATATAGAACTTTACATACACTCTTTTGCTTCTTCCCTTATATTCTTGAATAACTTCTTTAGACTCAGTTTACATTTGATGTAAAATGATGCTCTCTCTTTGTGCTCCCATGTTATGCTCTACAGAGGCTGAGCATCTGAAGGCCAAGGTTTGAACCCTAGTTTTTCTTCTCACTGGATTATAACACTGGAAAAAAAAAAAGGAATTTAACCTCACTCAGTGTGAGTGTTCTTATCTATAAAATATGAACAATTAATACCTTCTTCATTGTACTTTAAGATGATTCAATGATAAAATTAATGTGAAATCCTTAAGATAATGCCTTGGATTTGATAAATGCCCAATAATGCCAGTTATTAATATAGTTGTTATTATAAACCTATGTTACATTGTAATTTATGTTTGTATCTGTATCCCCCTTACTATGCCACATACTCTTTACGAACTGGGAATATGATTTTCAGGCCTGGAAAATCATGCTTATAAAAATACAACAATTATGTCAGCAAAGTATCTTTCACAGAGTGGCCTTCAAAATAGAAAAATGAATGACCACAGAAATCAGGTTTAGTGGTGTATCCGTGACGGAGTGTGTGTTATGTAAACCTAACCAGCTCACAGCACAAACCTTTAAGATAGCCCCAGGTGCGGTGGCCCACTCCTGTAATCCCAGCACTTTGAGAGGCCGAGGTGGACGGATCACAAGGTCAGGAGTTTGAGACCAGCCTGGCCAACATGGTAAAATCCCCATCTCTACTGAAAATACACAAAAAATTAGCCAGGCATGGTGGTGCATGTCTGCAATCCCAGCTACTCGGGAGGCTGAGGCGGGAGAATCACCTGACCCCAGGAGGTGGAGGTTGCAGTGAGCTGAGATCGCGCCACTGCACTCCAGCCTGGGCATTAGAGCAAGACTCTATCTTGGAAAAAAAAAAAAAAGATAGCCCCAAAAGTTCTGAAAGATTCAAGGCACTTGAAGGTTCAAGATATATTTATATCAACTATGTGACTTGCATCCTAAGCACAATAAAAACTACATATTTAAAAGTATTGACTGTGAGGTCAGAAACTTGAAACTTATCTCTGCAACTTAATTGTTATTTGATATTAAATTCTGCAAGCCAGTTTTTTCATCTACAGAATGGTAGTAAGTATACTACTTCATTTGTTATGGGAATTAAAAAAAATTCATACAGTAGTACTTAGCATAATTCTTGGTATATAATAAGTGGTCAATATATAAAGTTCACTGGCAATGAAAAAAAATTTTTCATAATTTTAATTTTATTTCTTTTCATTCCTTTTCTCCTCTCCTTTTGGGATTCTAATTAAATATATTTAGACCTTTACATTGACTCCCACATATTTTCTTTTCTTTTTAGAGGTGAGATCTTGCTATATTGCCCAGGCTGGACTGCAGTGGTTAATCACAGGTGTGATTCCATTACTAATCAACACAAGAGTTTTGACCTGCTCCATTTCTCACTTGGACCAGTTCACCCCTCCTTAGCCAGCCTAGCAGTTCCCACTCCCAGGAGGTCACTGTATTGATCCTGAACTTAGTGCAGATACCTGTTTGGCATACCACAATACAGCCCAGAACTCCTGGACTCAAGCAATCCTCCTACCTCAGCCTCCCAGGTAGTTGGGACTATGGCTACACTTTAGCACACTCAGTGAGTCCCACATATTTCTAAAACTTGTCTCTGTGTTTTTCAATTCTGTTTTCCATATACACTTCAGTTTGGAAATATTTTACAGACCTATCTTCAGTCCATTCCTTTTTGTGAGACTTCTCCCTCTACACTACTAAGTAGATCCTCATTATGTTAAGACCTTAAAGTGAGGGAATTTTTCTACTGTGTTTTTCAGAAGTTTGATTTTGAGAACACCAAGAAATAAGCTCTGGAGAAATATACCTAATTTTAATTTCTTATTTTTTATTACATGGGTTATTAGTCCTATCTGGAATTCATCAACATTTTTCTCTCCTTTATTATTTTGGTTTTAATTTTCTCTATATGGGGCTTCTTTTAAAACCAACACTAGATATTCACCACCAGCATCAGGGGCTTCCGTTATAACCAATAGAAAATCTGGATAACATGGGTAGAAGGCTAAACGTTTTTCTAGTGTACTCAAGAGCTATAGTAGGAAGATTTTGACCCCTCCCCACCAAAAAATAATCACATCTATGTTGCTTTCTGGGAATTATGAGAAAGATCCAGTATCATCTAAGAGAAGAAAGGAAGAAACATCGCCCAAGAATTAACAGACATCCTCAACTTGAAACATAGTATTAAGTATGTATTACAAAAAGCTAAAAACCAAGAAACAAAACCTTCTATGCTTTCAAAAATGTAATATTGGAACAGTCAAATATCATTTAAACTCTTCTGGATGAAGAGTTTTTGTGATATATAAAAATTTATGGACCTGGGACATGAGAGAATATAAAGCCTGCTTTGGGTTATTGACATTCTGGATAGAAATAAGTTCATTCCAGGCAAATAAATATGGGGAGGCCACTACAGAAGTGTTTCACATTTATTTAAGTAATTCATCCTCCTTAAGGAAAATAGCTTACAACTGTAATGAGACAGTGAGGGGAACTCATGCAAGTTAAAATGCCTTCAAGTACAACCAATAGCCTGGGGATCCCAGAAAGGAAAGATATGTGCTTGGAAACTATCCAGCCTGCCAACCCTTAGAAAACAGTTCCAGAAACAGAAACATTTTGGCCCCTTCAACTGTTCTAACAAGGGCTGCGGCAACTCATCTGCGGCCATTGCCAACCACAGCACCATTGCCAACCACAGCACACACCATAGAAAAATCTGACAGTCTCTGCGAAGAAACTTAAAACGTAAAACTAAAGGTAGAGTTGGCATGGCTTTTGGAAAATGAGCAGAAATAACTACATAGAGAAAAATGTGAGTTAATATAGTATAATTCTCTCATCAATGGCTCACCAAGAACCAAAAATAGTCCTCCCCTGCCTGTAGTTTCCTCTCAGTGGACTATGAAGTCCCTTGATTATTAATATTGATCAGTTTTTTTCAGATTGTATTTGAGGAGAAAATAATTAACTTGTTTCAGAATTTCTAGGAAAATTTTCTGAGTTTCATCTCTTCAATATTGTCTGCTCCATTTTGTGCTTCCTCTCACTAAACAAAGCAGGCTAAGCATTAACTGAAAAATGAGAAAGCTCCCACAAGCATTCCCAGCACAGTGTCATGAGACCCTTGCAAATCCAAAAGAATGTCAATATTTCCATCTATGTAAGTGGGCATTTAAAAAAAAGAAAAATTACTGAGAAGGAATTTATTATGTTCATAACCACAGAAATTTTTGCACAAAATGAACAAGCAAAAGGCAAGAACGGCTAGACCCAGATTATTTTCCCTGCTATGAAAAGACTTCTAAGCAAGTAACACGGCTTTGTTTACTACTGTTGACTGTGGTAGATTCTGAAAAGGGTAGTCACTGAAATGGCACAATATCAACTCCATTATCTGTAGCCATTTGGATTTTTTTTTTTCAATGGATCGATCCAGTGATTAAGATGTACTGTTTTATTTTTTTAAAAAGTTATTCTCAAAGTTTCACACACGACTCTTCACCTACATATAAGTAAACCATAAAATAGGGTGTGATAAAATCAGTGGTGGAAGAGCCGAAGGTTCGTATGAGCGAGGATGATTCCCAGTTCATCGCAGGCCTCAATCACAACTTTGTCAGCAGCAGAGCCGGAGGGAGCCGCAATGTATGCCACACCGCTCCTTTTAGCTCTGTCTACATTATCTCTGAAAGGGAAGAAGGCATCTGAGCTGACAGAGACTTCACTCAGTTTGTCAACCCATTCCTTCTTCTCTGCCTCAGTGAGTAATTCAGGGACTTCCTCAAACAGGGCCTTCCACTTTATCAAATCTTCATCCTCGCCAATGGTTCCAGTCACGTATTGATCGATGGCATTGGAGATTTCTGCTCTCTTCACGCGGAGTTGGACTGAGTGTACTTGACAGCAATGGTGGCTACGATGAGGTCTCGGAGGGCAGACTCTGGCAGATCTTTATTCTTGGTGACAACATTGCTAAATAATGACTTGTCAATGACACCGTTATTTCTCTTCTGGCTTAAATGAAGACCGAAGAGCGTTCGAACTTCATTTTCATCTGGTTTGTAAGACTGGTCCATCTGAAGAACACAGTAGTTTCCATTTTTCTTTTTGGAAAGTATTGTCAAGGCTTCTTCTTCATATCCTGGGGCAATTATACCATCAGAGACTTCTCTGGAAATAATTTTTGCAGTTGGTACATCACAAACGTCAGACAATGCCACAAAATCGCCAAATGATTACATCCTATCAGCCCCTCTTGCTCTTGTGTATGCCGTTGAAATGGGTGTAAGGGTTTTATAGAGATCAAAAACCATGCAGACTCTGGCCTCATCTTCACTGAGTGGAATTCCAACAGCGGCACCTGCTGGGCTGACATGTTTGAAAGAGGCAGCGGCTGGAATACCTAACGCCTCTTTGAGTTCCTTCACCAGCTGCCAGGCATTCAAAGCATCGCACAGGTTTATAAATCCAGGGGCTCCATTTAGAACTGTGATGGGAAGCTTGGGCTTCAGTGTGTACAGCTGGGCAGGGGTCTGATGAGGGTTCATTCCATACCGCAAGGGCATCTGAGATACGTCTTTGCTGTACTGTTTCCTGAAATAATCTGAAATTGCTTCATCGTATTGTGCCGTATGAGTGAATGCCTTCAAGGCTAACTGGCGTCTAGTCTCCAAGGAGGTGTCCTTGCTCTCGGAGCTCTGCATCTCTGTGGACACTGCCACGTAGTCCTCAGGTTCACACACCACTGTCATTCGAGCGTGGTTTTTGGCTGCAGCTCTCAGTAAGGTTACTCCACCAATGTCAATTTGCTCCACAGCTTCCTCAACAGTTACACCTGGAGAAGCCACTGTCTTCACAAAGGGATAGAGATTGCAGGCAACAACTCTTATAAGATTGAAATCAAGTCTGGCCATGTCAGCATTATCTTCTGGAATATTGCGAGCCAGGATTCCAGCATGGACTGCAGGATGCAAAGTTTTCACACGTCCCCCCAACATTTCAGGAAATCCTGTCAACTCAGAGACATCTCTGACTGCCAGACCAGCATCCCTGAGAGCTTTTGCAGTCCCTCCGGAAGCGACCAGATTCAAACCGAGAGAGATCAGGTTTCTTGCAAATTCCACAAGGCCGGTTTTGTCAGAGACACTGAACAAGGCGAGCTGGCCGGGAGCCATGACGGCAGGTGCTGGGTCGGAGGTGAGCGGGAGGCAGCACCTGGATTTTTATTTTCACTAGAAGTTATTTCATTCTCTGCCCACCCCACTCCTATGACAACAGACCTGGTACTAATACCACACTCCTTTTTTGTTCTTTGATGCAATGAAATTAGTTGTTTCCAGAATATTTTGCATGACTAAGAAGAAATAAATTGAATAAAACATTGTAATTCACAAATCTCACTTGGCAAAATAACATGCATATGAATCAACATTTTTGGTGAAGGCCCCCAAATCATTTTAGTCACCCACTGAATTCACTCAGTGTTCCACGTATGAATACATTCAGAATAATAATGCATTCTGAAACTGCCTCATTGGACAATGACATTTAAAAAATAATAATTCAACAAGATGATTTCAGTGTTAAACCTCATTCAAGTCTTCAAGGTAGAGATATAGGGATTAGTGATAATCTCTTTGTCCTAAAACTATCCAGGTAAAAGCCTAAAGAAGAAAAGCACCCAGCCTCTAGACATATAAATAATGTCACTCTGCTCAAAAAAATAAAAAAAGGACTCTTAACACACATGCACATTCATAAACATTTTAGGAGACGGTGCAATACAATGAACAGACCCCAAACAGTGCTTTGGAGCAGGGAAGATCTAAACTTGAATCCAAGCTCTCACTGTGGTCAAACCACTCTTGACCTTGGTTCAATCATTTAATGTTGTCAAACTTCAAGTCCTCCAACTGGAAAATGGAGGTAATAATATCTACCTCCTGGAGTTTTGCAAGGATTAATATGGCATTATACATATATGAAAATCCAATAGCAGTCATCACAACTTTTCATCTCAACCTATAACAGGCTAGCAAGAAAGAATAAAAGAACTGTAACTCAACCATGGCTCTTAAATTATATAAGGTCTTTCAAGCCATAAGCCCTCTGCCTAGTGGAAAAAAGGGGACACATATGTTATCTAAAGAACAAACTGTTTAACGTTAGCTCACCAGACACATAGAGTCTAAAAGAATATATAAAACAATTTCCTGAGATTTGACTTCTTATTGGAATGGGACCTTAGTTCTCAACTCTTAACACACCCACATAGTCAGCACCTTAGAAGAGAAACCTCCTCTCCCTTGGACGTCTGATCCATCTTTATCTTCCCCAAGGCTCTTTAGACCCTAAAGATGTTCCTTTTTATTTTCGCACCTTTAGAATCATGCTTTACTGTGTGCAAATAATCATCTCTTTACTCCATCAAATATCATCTTGATAGTTCTTAGGCAGAATATTCTAGGAGGTAGAGGAGAGGAAGAGCAGAGGGAAAGAGACCTTCTGAGACGAAATATGTCCTCATAAAGATGCACTATCTTTTTGGCGATGAGGATTTTCCCACTCCACAGAAATCCTGTATCTCCAACGTGTTCTTTTAATTTTTTAAAACTCTTCTAGTCACTGAAATCCAATATGTTCTTAGGCACTTTTCAACTAGTAAGAAAAAAAAAAGAGACCCACTCGGCCATATACCCCTCCATGAAAACTTCCCAATCTTCGCAAAGGCCAGGATCCCTTCCTAACTCTAGTGAGGTATCTCCACACATACTTTGGCTACATTACTCAGTCTTTAGACTTGTCACTGTTATTTTCCAAGACCAATACCATATACACAGCTGAGAATTGCCCCACCAGCATTCCTGTTGATGTGGACACATACATACCATGGGTCCCCTCCCTACTTCCAGGATACTCTTTGCAGTCCCATCTGATCACTGCCAGCTCCGAACTTAAATTTTTACAAGTGGTGCACTTCCTTCTTTTTTAGGAATAGTAGATATCACATCACATATCTGAGAGAAGGAATCACTGAGCCCCCAAGCTCTCAATTTTAAGAGTCATCAGATTCTCATTCTCCCACTGCCCATCTCTCCCTACTTCTAGCTAGATGAACCTCCTCATGGGAGATATGATCAGCCTCCTGACAAGTGGTAGGTCCTCTCCCCACCAGTTCCCATATGAAAAGCAGAGAACGTGCCGAGCCCTGGCTTTGTCCAACATTTGAACAAACTTTATAAACTTAAAGGTATATTAGCTGGCCTTTTATTAATCTGAATGTTGGGTTCAAATCACATTTACTGCACATCTATTCATTATTCTGGCTTACTGATGCCTCTGTATGTGATAATGGTAGTACTAGACTTTTTAATCCCAAACAATTAAAACTCTTTTGGTGGTAAATAGCTTTCAAAATTTCTTCGTTAATCAGAATAGACCCAAGAGAGAAAGATCTAAATTCTTAGAATTTGTTTTTCCTGAAATTGCATGATATGCCTGGGAAGAGGGTGGGATAGGAAGTGAGCAAACAGTTCTTTGCCACCAACATATTATGAAGGATTCAGATGCCTAGTCTTTAAAGAAAAAAGTCAACACAGATTAATTTTAGGGGTTTGCTGATTGAATGCTTTCTAGATGGGCTGCCTTTGGGAAAAATGCTTTCCCTGTGTGCAGCAGATGTAATGGCTTCATTTTGTCACCACGATGTCCACCGTCAGAAGCAGAATACTGTCCTAAATACCTTCAGTATTCCCTTCCTCTCCAAGTGGCTTGAGTCATCATACATTACCCTGGGTCCCATAGGGCAGTATTTGCAGATTCCTCCATAGTCCAAGTATGGTACACTCAACAACTTTATACAACACCCCATGTCTAGGACCCTCCTGATTCTGAAAATGCCAAGTAACTTCTCTGCTGATGGGTTCGCTTTCCCCTTTCTCTTCTGCCCACAGCTCTGAGGCTTCTCATTAAGGGTTTGCCCACCTCTTTCCCACAATGGGATGGGGAGGAGCCTTGCCTCACAAAATTTCTGAGCAGAATTGAATATCTCTCCAAGGCTGAGACCTGCTGTGAGCCATGATGTCTTCCTGGATGGTTGCCTTTCTCTGATCTTTCTCAATCAGGATTGTTTGCTAACAACCATTTCTCCAAATGAACCTGAAAACAGTGGCTCCTTTCTCAATGATCTTAGGTAATCAAAATCTGCAGCACAGTGTATTGATCTATTTTTGCCCATTTACTTAATATGATTATACTTTCTTAAATTTTCTTCCATTATTCCAGCAACTTACATGTCCAATACTAGGAAGAGGAAAGGAAAAATTTTTAAAAAGCCTGTCTTTTGCTTACAAACACACAAAATCTTGTATAGAATTGTACGATATAGATTAATCACTGTATCTGTTTGCTAGGGCTATGATAATAAAGTAAACAAACTGCGTGGCTTAAACAACAGAGATGTATTGTCTCACAGTTCTGAAGCTAGAAGTCTGAGATCAAGGCGTCAGCAGGTTGGTTCCCTTTGAGGGCAGTGAGGGAAGATCTGTTCCAGATCCCTCTTCTTGGCTTATAGCTGATCATCTCCCTGTGTCTTTTTACATTGTTTCCCCTCTGTGTGTATGTCCAAGTCCAAATTTCCCCCTTGCATAAGGACACAATCATATTCTGTTAGGGAATCTTGCATGATACCACTATACCAGAGTCACCATTCATATTAGATTATGGCCCACGTTAATGACTTCATTTTAACTTCTTTACCCCTGTGAAGAAAGACCCTATCTCCAAATAAAGTCATATTCTGAGGTACTGAGGGTTGACTACACATATTTTTTTTTTTTTTTTTTTTTTGAGACGGAGTTTCACTGTTGTTACCCGGGCTGGAGTGCAATGGCGCGATCTTGGCTCACCACAACCTCCGCCTCCTGGGTTCAGGCAATTCTCCTGCCTCAGCCTCCTGAGTAGCTGGGATTACAGGCACGCACCACCGTGCGCAGCTAATTTTTTGTATTTTTAGTAGAGATGGGATTTCACCATGTTGACCAGGATGGTCTCGATCTCTTACCTTGTGATCCACCTGCCTCGGCCTCCCAAAGTGCTGGGATTACAGGCGTGAGCCACCGCGCCCGGCCTACACATATAATTTTTTGAGGGATGGGGGAGAGTATGGATACAATTCAACTCATACCTTGACCAATTCATGAACTGTTCAAGAGCCCCTATACTAATGTATCATCTTGTTACAAGACTAAGACTCAGGTGGCAATTAGAAAAAAACTTTGTCTAGATGGTATATTGCTGCTCAGCCACCACCACCACCACCAAAATATACTCCTACCTTTCTCATACACCCTAGTTATTCACTGATGGCTTCAATTATACTGTCTGTAAACATGTTTTATTTCCAATTTCTATATTTGATGTGGATTATCTGGCATCTTAAAGCTCAAGATTCTAATGGATAATTTTTTAAATGTTCCTGGTGTTTTTTTATTATATTGTGTGCAATTATGGAAATATTTTTGAAACTTACTATCTCTACTGAATTTTCATTTTGTGCTGAAAAAGTTGCCAGAGCGAATAAAGTTGCATACAAAGCGACTTGTCCACTTGCCAACATTTTTCTGTTCTGCATTGCTTGGACAGTTACCAACTTGCTTTTGTATTCAAACAAGATGAAGAAATTAATGTTCATACATTTACCCATTTTAGCCCAGGGCTCAAATAGGGGTGCCACATTAGTAACTTTTAAATAAATGGTTAGTGAAAGTTGAAAATTTTCACCTACTCTAGAAGCTGACCTTTGAACAAATGGCATTATCAGACAAATCAAGCCAAACATGCAATAATGCTTTTAGAAAGAGTATTGGTTTCATATATATTTGAAATTTCAGAATCACATCTGCCTCTCAGGCCCAGAGTCTATTTAAGAAACTATGGTTCCCTTTTTTTGTTTTCAGTCTTCGAAGCTTAAAAAAATCTAAATCCTATTTTTACTCCAAAATCCAGTCTTAGGAAGGCACTATGTTTTTATAAAGGTCTAAATACTCTTTCATTTTCCTGTATAAACATGAAAATAATTCTGGAGATTCCCCTAATAAAACCCAATGGGAAGAATCAATGCTGAGAGGCAACCTGAGCTTTTCTTCTCTCCTAGTTCCTTTTTATTTTGCAGAAAACTCTGAAGCATTTAGTCACCTAACCTATTGAAAAAGGGAAGTCATCTGAGCCTGGAGTACTTGAATCAAGTCA